TTACTATTCAATGCATCGTGTGTTATGAGAATGACAGTTTAAATTACATTTAAGCATAGCTTTATGACAAGCACATCGAGCTGTAGAGCAGTTTGTTTTAAAATTGCAATTGATCCTTGATAACTCCGGCACATGTGTACTATATGAAGGATAATATTTTTTGTATGGTTCGAAAGCTAATTAATTGTGCTTTTGGAAAAATAATATTATCGTTATAAATCGGTAGCATTAATTATTGTACAGTATTAGATGAACACGAGCAATTGCCAAATGTCTCTTCATAGATCGGATATTCGATGTGCCGTGAACATTTTTGATTGATAATTTAATGTTTAAGCTCGCTAGTACAGAATTACTACCATAAAATCAGTATTAATTCTGTTTTACATCAAAACTTTGTTAATTCCCGACTTGCCTTTGACTTACCAGTCATGGTTAAAGTCTTATTCAAAATTTTGAGTCACTAAGTAATAGGATAGTAACGATGACGTTAGTATTGCAAAATGATGTTATTTCAATATCAACATGTAAACTGTTACCTGCAGTTGAATCGTAACTGTTCCTCGGTTTAGGCAAATTTCCAGTAGGTAAGAGCTTACTAGAATAATTATTCTCCTTCTCAAGACGTGATAAGGGTTTTACATCATTATGATATATGGTATTCCATGTGTTGTCATCCTTATCAGCCTCTTTAACAAGCTTGTCAATATTATCCATAAGTGTCCATGCATCTGGACGCTTATCAGACCAGCATCACAACACCGCTTGGCAAGTTTCTTGTATTCCTCTGGTGCAGAATCGGGCATCGATGGTCGTAGTCCGCCCATAATGTTGCATACTAAATCTCATCGAACTGTCTATCTCTAAAAGGTGGTTCACCGGTGGCCATCAAATACATAATGATACCAGAAGAATACACATCTGATTTCTGAGTAAATTTGCAGGTATGGAAGACTTTCGGTGCAATAAAAGGTAAAACGCCTCGAATGGTTGAACTTTGTTGACGTGAATTCGCCGATTGAGAAGACCAAGAATGAGTCTGCCCAATAATCGTCATCATGCAAAACTACGTTTCCGTCATGAAGATCACAATGCACTAATCCCATATTATGAATCTTTTTCAGATAAGCTGCAATACTCCTCAAACACTGCAATTTATCTATCCATGTCAATTTGTTAATATTTTGATCCAAATAAGACAAAAGACTACCATTGTTAGCATATTGCATAACAATCATGTACTCTTTTGTTTCTGGGTCTTGTGTGACGCCATAATTTTAAGGAATGAATAATCACTGTTTGCACACTTGGCATGATTTCTGAACTATTAAATGAAATAAATACGGAGTCAGATTAAATATCACTTTAATTAATATTACTATAATTATTGCTTATTTCGGAAATAAATAATTCCGGCGTTTCATCAAAATTCTTAAACCGTTTGAGTACAACAGTTCGTGGCACATTCTCTTCTTCTTCATATTCGGCAGTATAAACTGTTCCATAACCACCATATCCGATCTCTTTGAATTGTAAAAGTCGCTATACTGCATGTACTCAACACGTTTATTATTTCCAATATCTGACGTATTTCATGGTAGAAAATTAAGTAATATTACCGAAGACCATTAATCATCCTTTGTTAACCAAAGGAAAAAAATTTTTTAACCAATAAAAATGCAGTATAAAAACTGGCAACATTTATTGCACAGGAGGAAGGTAACTTGAATCTCGGCATGACTTTTTGCGTGAATTAAACAATATAAAAAAATAATTTATGCAAAACAATTAGCAATTCGAAGGTTCAAACTAATCTTGGCGACTTTTTTACCGATTTTGTAATATTTAATGCATCGAGTATTATTTTTTAGCTAAATGCGCATTTATTTAATATTCATTATGCTTAACCGAAGGTGACCCCGTTATACCGAAGGAAAATGCCTGGGCTGACGCCTCCGTTATAACGGGTTGCCTTTGTATAAGTTCCTCGCGGTTTTGAATCCCTGCACAAGCGTCTACTAGGTATTAAGGCAAAACTCATCATGGATAGCGGGGATTTATTAGTAAATGACTGAGGTGACCAGATGATATGCTTCAACTTCAATAGTTTGCCACCAAATTGTAAGAAAGAAATCCAAAAACCCCAACGTCTTACAGTGTGTAACAAAAAAAATGATAAAATATATCTGTAATTCATATGTTTGGAACTTACTCAATTTGATTCTAATTGCATCATGTAAAATGGAAATAAAAGCAGATCTTTGGTACTATCATTTCATATGTTTCAAGTCTTTGATTACTTTTCAACTCTATAGACAATTCAGCTCTAACCTCTACACCTAGTGAAAAAAAAACCACAACTTTAGATCAATTACACTATTGAAAGCAGCAAGCACACAAAGACTCCTAAACTAACTTTCTGATAAAGATCTAAGTGTTTATAATTTAATACAATATTAGATAATTATGGCTAATAGTAGTATAAATCACAAAAAAAAATTTTTTTCAAAAACCCCCCAAACCTGACTGTTACCCTAACCCTAAACAAACCATAACTGAACCTCAATTCCACTGAGAATTTCTGAAATCTCCGTGCTATTGCTAAGAGCAGATTGTTATAATTAGTTTTGTAGAGCCGGTCAACAGATACATTGTAAGCTTATTACTACAAGAATGGTAATGGTATGTTACATTAATTTTATATTAATAACAATATGTTGCTTTTAAGCTTTAAAATGATATATTATTAGATTGCTCATGTTAAAACCAAAGAGATTTAAACAATTCTCATTTTTTGTTACACACTGTATATAAACAACCAATAAACTTACGAGTGGAAATATTCAACTGGCGTTCACTAGGATCTCCATGTCTTCTCTAATGGTAGATAATCAGTTTGGTAACCTCTAGCTTTTGACATAGCATCGAGAGCTTAATCAGTTATACGATTATTGATGAAATCCCAACATGATAATACGATTATGCCCAATAGCAACGACACCACTCGTACAACAGTATTACTGTGGCTGTATGTTTTTGTTTAATTTGGAAAAATTTTGACTAATTATACTATTTAATGTGAGTCTATTCATAAGTGAATGGACATTCAATTTCTAAAGTAGAACATGACTAATATACTCTTGTTTCATTTCAAAGTGCTTAATAATCATTCAGCAATTACTTTGACTTTTATTTGGATATAAAAGTTTAGCATATAATATATTACTATCTGATGCAAATTTGCTATCCATTTAAAAAGAGAAGAACTTATCGATGGAGTGTGGTCAAACATTTTGCAAGCAGATGTAAACACGCTATGGCCTTGTTTACTGATCAGATCTTACTGTGTTACATCACACGTGAATAAATATCTTAGCTGCTGCAAACCTTATTGTCGATCTTTGTAAAATGTCTGCTTCAGAATTTCCCAGTGAGATCCTTTACAAAATATGCCGAACTCTTTACAATATAACCAAATCGAAGACTCACCTCTTCAACTGCCTCCTTGTGAACAAACACTGGAGTTCCGTTGCAGTCACTTTGGTTTGGGAGGATATTCGTTATAGTACTGGACAGGCGCAAACAGTTTGTAAAATGGTTGCAGATAATTTTAAATCCATTGACCACACAGTCTATTACCAATACCCAGCCTTTTTGAAACTGTTTAATCTCGCCTATTTCGTTAACATGCTGCCATATTTCATTGAGGAGTTGGACAAAAAATACTCGGTTAAAATCAAAAAAGAGGATCTATTGTCACCGTTCTTGGAACTTTACGTTCGATACGCTGCTCAAGTACGGGACTTGGCCATCTACGAAGACACGAGAATCAGCCAAGTTTTAATAAGCCCGGAAATGATTGATACAATTCTCAGATATAGTAGAACTTTGTTTTCGAACATCACACTGTTGCATTGCAAAGGACTCATCGAAGTCGGGCTCATCTCTCACGTTTACCGATCGTTGGGAGAGTGTTGCAAAAACATAGCAAGTATTAAAAAGTCTTTAAATATTTCATTTGGCTTCATATTCTAATACAAAACATATTTCTTTTTTTAAGGAAACATTGAGTATAGGAGAAGAATTTCTGAGCTATGGTGATAATGGAAGTGATATATCCGATGATTCTTCTGAAATCAGTGGTCTTATCCGCTCTCAAACTAATTTGAAAAAGTTTGCTTATTATGCTGAAACGGACATCTCTCATTTTATCATACCCGTGCTCAAGACTTTGGAAGAACACGTACCGAGATTGGAAGTCTTGGAAATTCATAACGTGCAATTCAGCAGGCCCCTCATCTCGCGCCTTATTGAGTCTTTGGAGAGATTCAAAAATTTGATACTCTTAAAGTTCTTTAACTGTTCCGAAATAGAGTATTTGGTGCATCTTTTTAGTCAAATGAAAACGTTTAGCGAGAGAACACTGGTCGGATTTGTATCTTGCATGTTTCAGGGTGAAGAGTTTACATTCCTTTTGCAAGATATTTTAAGTTCGGAGTCTGACGAGTCATAGTTGTTAAATTTGCTGTTAGTCGCGCTTGCTTACAAGTAAGAGGTCCTCAATGGTTTTATTATGCCTTAAATCTGTATACATTTTCTTGTGGCACTTTTCTTTCCTTGCTTTCTTCTGAGTAAACGATTCAATTATTAAATATTGTGATAGTGTGAACAAATAGTTTCTGGTATATTTCTATCACTTTTTTGACTTCGTTAACTCATATTTCTCGAGAAATAATTCTTCTGTTGATAATATTTTACAGTATTCATGACATAATAAGCATAATGAGATAAAAACAATTAAACCCTATAATTTTTACTTGTATTTACAAGTAAAACCCGTTATAAAAAACCTCCGATAAAAGAAACTGAGCATATAAGAGGAGGGGTTTTTCCGACCCGAACCAGTTCTATATAAATTCCGTTCGTTTATATAGTAAATATCGATATTGTGTATAAGAAAGATTTTCTATAACCATATATAATAAAATATATCGCGATATAAGAAAAATGCCTGATATTAGAAAGTTACATTGGATAAAAGAAAATTATAAGAAATGTTACGCTCGAGCCAATAATAACTAAGCTTTTACTAGCTCTTCATATTCCTGACGAAATTTGTTATAAATAAATCCTACATAATGCAATCTGTAACGCATCGAAAAACGACGTGGTTCGGATGCAGAAACAAGCCGTTCTGGAGGACTATTTCCAAGGCATTCAATAGCATAATCATATTATCCAAATGACTAAAGTTTGTGCATATGTATTACAAAATGAAATAAAGTCTTTTTACTCTATCCCTTAATCTGTAGGGCAAATTTGACACTTATTCTTGATATGCATTTTTGAAAACAATGCTACTAAGTTATCTGCACTTTGACCATTAATAAAAATGATTTGCCTTGTTTTGAATTTAAATGAGTGAAATTATATGGTAAGAGAATGTGTGGTTGAAGAGTAATATGCATTTAAATAATTTTTTTAAAACCATTTCTAGGTAAAATTTTTAAATTTTTGCAAAATCTGCTTTATTTGGACTATGATAGGGTATATATTCTTAGACCATATTTTTTCTTTACTTTGTTGTAAGTCTAAAGAGTTAAAGATCTCAGTAAACAGATGAGCCATTAAGAAGTAATGGCCATTTGAAGACAGGCACTATGTCCCTTAAATCATACTCCCCCCATACTTCCTCCCCCTGTTTTCTCTCTATCTATTTCTTGGGCTCTTACATTACTTTTAACGCTTTGTTTGTCTTCAGTGCTTTTATTATTGTTCTTCTTGCTCTGGTTTATATTCATATTCAGCAATTATGTCCTCCTCACTGAAATCTGTTTCCTCGTGATGATGACTTATGAACTAAATAATATTACGAGCCTAACAAGACTTCAAAGTTGGTACAATAAGACATTTTTTACTAAGAATATCTACAACAGATAATTAACTAACAGATTACAACGTTAACGTATGGAAATTATAACGTTCATTAGCACCATCGGCGATTGATCGAAGAAATCTGCAGACAGACAAGACCATATTGACCGACTCGTGCAACCAATGATCACGTGACTGTTCATACTGATAGCTACGATTCTAAGGTTTCTAGCGAACTATATGTGTTGGGGGTATTTATCTAGTGGCATCAAGTGATATAAAGCGATTTTGTTGGCGAATCCAAATTGGAGGCAAATTTGCCTCCAATACAGTTTAAGGGATAAAAAAATCTTTTTAGAACTTTCTTATGTCGCAAAAGTTCGTTAAAAGAAATTGCGCTCGTTATAAATAAAGCTTTTGGTCCGACCCGACGACTTTCTTATAACAAATTTTACTTGTATATTGATTTAACACTTGTTAAAGAATAACCCTTCCCGAATTTATCATACCATTCTTCCTACGTCCGATCTTGCTTCCCCTAATTTGCGCTTAGGGTTTACTTGTGTCTGGTTCTATCTATGGTGTTCCGGAAATGGTAAATTTGTTTAGCTTCCTAAGGGTATTTTTCGAGCGTTTAGCCATTCTTATTCAACGTAAGTTGGATTTGTATACAACAAATTTGTATGCTAACTTATGAGAATTGGGTCATCCACCTCGGTAATTACTTTCACCTTCGTATTTATTAAGACTTGTTTTCTTATAACATATGAAATCTGACAGTGTCAAATATGATTGATCCAGTCTTCTGTTTATCGATTTAACAGGCTTTTGATCATTCCTTCTATTACCTTCTGCAGTATTTACAGTTTTTCTTGAAAATTTGCACTAGCATCTGAGTTACTCGCCGTTCTACTTCTTTGAAAGTACACCAAAACTTCTTGGTGGCTTAATCCTGAATTTTATACAAAAAAATGACATAGAAAAATGAACAGCTTTACCTTGGAATTAAGTGAATACATTTACAGTACGCCAAGCTGGTATTTGGTAACTTTGCTTAATTAGTCAAGAACATTATTGAAAAATGCAGGCCCGGGTGTTTGTCCATAAGCAGTGAGGGTGCTTAACAATTTCAAAACCAGTAGTTTTCTCAAATAAATACTATCAATCAACCAACCAACTATAATATTACCAGACATGCCATGCACCATTAAACTGGAATTTATTCTTTGAGTAACAGTTACTAAGACTGCATTATTATTATCAATCACCAAACAATTTGTATTGTTGATCTCCCTGTCAATACTGATGTATTAACATACAGACAGTCTCTTATTGAACAAACAAACAACACATTTAGAATTTGCACTGAAATGCAGCAAATAATATTATTCTCCTGACAAAAAAAAAATTAGAATACACATGATCAAAAGGGTTTATGATTGGTCACACTATTGTTACGGTCGGGAAATAAAATTGGGTTTTTGGGAGAGCGATTTATCTTTCGTGTAGGTGTGTTCGCCGACCGGGGATGTTACCAGGCTTAGCTCGTACTATCGCCCTTACTCCGATAGTTGTGCAATTAAGACTGAATTAAGCTTCAAGTGACCTATATAATACTGGCCTACTACTACCAAGACTACAAACTTAAGATTTATACATTAACCAAATCAGATGTAGAAAAGCGCAAAAGTTGATCTTTTCAATAAATCTCTGTTCGAAATAGAAAGACATTTATTACTCTAACCACTGAAGCACAATAATCAATAGTTTGGTTTCCATTTTTTGTGAAATATTTGATCTCAATTATTATCATCTCTGTTAATATTTATTTTATGGTAATCTACAGCTTGCTAATTGCTTTTTTACATTCATAAACAACTCAAACTTTTCCTTAAATTTTTTGTCACTTAAAGGTATACACTTTGTTCAGCTGATCTTTCGCATAATTTATTAACGCTTTTAATGCCTGATTTCATTTTTATTCCATTTATAATCTGAACCAAAAGCGCATTGCTTTGCTTACATAAAACACTTGAGCACAGTTCGGATATTCGCAATCATTAGATCAATGTTACTATAATGTATCCATAGTCGCACACTGCGTGCTTGAAATAAAATATGTGCTTTTTGCTTACTCTAGTTTCATTTTATAACACGGAGCAGTGACATCTTGGTGAGCAGCTTTTCTATATAGTCCAACTATTTTGTTTATCCATTGAACGCGTGCATCCGCATGTCCTTGTTCCATACTGAGAGCACCGACCAAGATTGTATAATGCATCAACATGTCTTTGTTTAGCACGCGCGTTTTTTACAACTCGCTTTGATCTCAGTTTTTTATTCTAATATAGCAGGAATATGTGTGTATTTAAAGTTGTAAGATAGATACTGTTATGAATTTTGATGCTATGATAGTTATTATGGTCCGGTGCAAAAATATCCGTATCTCGATTTAAAAGATTTTTATTTGCGTAATACTAAAACCACATGCAAATAAGCCCATTTAACATGGTAAAAAGATTACATATAGACATATTTTTTTCGCAAAATTCGCCGATTCCTCATGTCTAGTTCTCGTG